GGAATAACAGAAATCCACAAATCAGCTCTTTAGCCTCAGACAAGGCGTGTACAATAATAATAACTGAAAATACTTACAATGTAACAACCAATTACATCATTTTCACCAAAGCGTTCACCATAATCTGCAAACTTGCAGTCACTAGATTTCTTTCCTGTTCCTCCATACCCAAAAGAGAACGGTTCCTCACCTGCAACAAAAAGTGTATTGCCCCAATTTCAAATAAATACTCACAAAAATGTATAGGTTTAAATCTAGAAGAGCTCGTCTTACCAAGCTGAGTGCTGCAGTGGTTGAGAGACCATCCAATTCTAACCACATGGGGATCTGGTTCATTACTGGGCAGGTGTTTTACTGAAATTTCTTCATTGATCTAAGGAAAGTCAAATATGTCAAAACTAGTATGTATGTAATATGTAAATATTTAAATATTTTGAGATCTTTCAAGATGAAGAATATAGATGAACGATTTTTTGTACCTTCATCTCATAACACACACGACCCTTTGTAACTCCGTGAGAAGCCCGCGCTCCTGCCCACAGGTAAGCAAAGCCTTCAATAGTGAGAGGATATCCACTATAGCGGTTTCGTGAGACTTTAAAATGCAAGTCGCAGTTGTCTAAAAAAAACATATAACAGCAGGTTTCAATTTAATAAACAACTAAATATGTACATATATACTGAAGTAAACTCACAAGTATCAATTGTAACAAGTGTGTCATCAATCTTCTCCTCTTCATCTTCAGCAGGAGGCTGAGGTGTGCGTGATCTACAAAATGAAATAGTTCTTTTAATTCAACATCTAATGTATAGATCTATATCTAGATACAACAAATGTAAAACTAAATAAAACTTCAAAGTTGCAAGAGTTCATACCGCTTTTCCTCACGGTGTTCATAATAGCCATATCCTCGATTTTCTTCATATGGTCTCTTGCGGCCTTGGGGCCCACCTTTTCCGCTCTCTGTTTTGACTTCAATTGGAGCAGCCCTCTCTTCACTGCGCTGCTGCTGCTGCTGCTGCTGCTGCTGCTCCTGTGCCCTGTGACTACCCTGCTCAGCATCCTCCGCATTTTCTGTTTTCACTTCAACTTTGATGTCTAAGGAAACACAAGTGGGGGTAATGAATTACTATTCAGTTGAACATCAAAAAAAGATAAAAACCTGCCCAATTGTCAGTTCACTTAGTATGAAATATGATCACAAATAAATTCAATACAGCACAGGACAATTACTAATTACTAATGACCTTGTTTAATTGCAGGAGCTTCTGCTTCCTGCATAGGCTTTGCTTCTTCTGGCACAAAGTGTGACTTGGGAACGTCAGCATCAGTTGCAAAGTCAGGCATGCTGTGGCTTGATTCAGTTGGTTGACTGCCATACGCCTCACCATTGGCCTCTTCCTCATAGTACCCACCAGAATCTCTACCTTCATCATAATCGCCTTCTGGGGGATCATTTCCATCATCATAACCTTCAATTTGATCTGTGAGCAGATAAATACATTTTTGGAGGTTAACTATAGGTATTAGTTATAACATACGTTCAGATAAATGTATTTATCCACAAGGGAAGTTACAATGAATTACAAAACACCTAATGCTACCTTGTTGCACAGCCTCTTCTCCCTCATTATCCTGATCGTCTTTGGAGTACTCCTCCATGCCCTGCTCCTCTTCCTCTTCCCCCTGCTCCTCTGAGACCGCGGCGTCTGTTTGCGCTTCTTCCTCCAGAGCGGCTCTCAGTCTCTCCACCAGGTCAGCCTTAAGGCCCCTAGTGTCCAGGCCGCGTCGTTGAAGTTCCTCCTTCAACTCGTTCACCTTCAGTTTCTTCACGTCAATATCCATGATTGCAGCTGTCTGAACCCCTCCTTTGTTGCTGCAGAATAAATAAATAGTAGGGTGAATATGTATGTATCGTTAAATCAAACACACTACAGTTAAATATGCGACAAATGAGCTAACGCTATGCTAAGGCAGCTAATGTTGCTAGTTACAAGTTTTAATAACAAATGCAACACTGTATATTAATACCACGTTAATATACATCCACGTATATTTACTAGTTGAGAATCATCTTTAATTGCAACCATATTTCTTCTTTTTTTTTTCTCACAAAGCAGCGGAGGCTGATGCTAACAACATTAGCATAGCCTAGCGTGTGCTACTTTGCGAAAATCTGCTGCACGCAGAATATTAGTATTTTGAAAAAATTCCTTGTGGAAATTAAAGTGACTCTTAACGTAATGTTTTTGGAAGCTATGTTTACACTATGCATGCACTCATGAACCCCGTGCAAAGACTATTTTGAAATAAAAGAGACATGAGGCCTACCTGCTCTCACGCGAGTTGCGCGGGTCCTCAGTGAGGAAGAGTGAGTGAGCGCAGATAGTGCCGCCTGGTGACCGAAACCCACACCGGAAGAGCACTGTTTTATGTTCATTTTACACAGTACAGTTCAGTCATGACAGCGATATATACTGCTTTTATTGATCTCATGATTTTATGATCGTTAGTTACACGACTTATGTGTGACATATTTTTGTGTCAATATTATTCCAATGACACATTTCTTAATAAAACAACACCAACATGACAAGTACACCTGTCTTTATTACAAGTCCAAATGACAATGAATGAACAAACAGTCAACTTGGCATTTTAAATTAAGATGACACAAGCATGAAATGTTAAATACCTTAACGGGCACTGAAAATACAAATCTTTTGTGCCAAAATATTATCAACATATTATATTGGGTATTCACTGCTTCATTGCTCCCCTTGATTATTTTTACAATAAACATGCTCACACCAATAAATGTGCTATGAATATCATAGCATCACCTCACAAAATCACTTGCTCAAAACCTGAGCCAATTATAGCACTCAAGACCACAGCACCAGGGTATGCCTTGCCCTTGTCTTCCTCTATGAGAAGCAGAGGACTGCGCATAATGCAGGACTGCAATCAGGCTGCAAAGACAATCATTCAACCCGCTTTTGTCACTTTTTAGAAGAGACTGGGAAAGACACCAGTTGTCGATTGATTTCTCTTAACTGGGTATCTAGTGTCTCTGTGGTTAAAGTCAGTTCTGCAAGTTGAGTCTGTAAGCTTGTGATTGTAGCATTCAGCTCATCTTCTTTGCGTCGCGAGTTAGCAGCTTGTCTACTGTATTCAAGTACCATACAGCCGCCTCCAACAAGAAAGATGATTGCTTCTCCCAGTAATTCTGCACCAAGTTCTGCAGCCGCATCCTCGTTAAGTGGTTTAATAGTTGCCCCTCGAAAGCCCATGATTCGCATCTTTGTTCGCATCTCAATCCAGTGGTATACTGGAAACAATAAACAAAAGATATAGTTAATAAATTGAGCCAACAGATACTTATTGATACTATGTAGTCACATCAAGCAGGGGGTGTTCTTCAAGTATCTCTATTGCTGGAATTATCAGCAGTTACCATGATGACACAATGCACACATTAGTAAACATAGACAAAGTTTCAAGATTGGATGGATTTAAACAACAGATTTTCAGGACCCTGTTATCAATATTAGCGTTTTTGATTCTGTTTAGGTGTTTGATTTTCAACAAAAAGGTGAGAATGATAAACAAAAAAATGGGCTAATGCTAGCCTGCTAGCTTGTGACTGTAATTATAAGTGTAAGAGATTTGTTTAAGAGCACAAATCATCTCACCAGTTGTAGTTTAATCAAGTCAGCTCTTTCTGGCCAGATCGTGTTAAAATAAAGCTCAGAGTAAGTCTAACCTGAGTAACAGAGCTTCTAACAGAGTAGTGCTTTCAATTAGCTTCACAACCCAAGGGACTGTTGATGACATCAACTGTAAAATATCAATACAAGGTTCACAATTTAAGATAAGCAAGTAGATGCCTTCTTTATGTGCAGTCCAATAAATTGTATTTAATTAGCTAACTGGTTTATGTTGTTCTTGTCGTCGTTTTATCACATACCGTGGCTTTTAAACAATATTTTAGCCATATTTGAGCAACATGTACAACAATAGTGGAATTTAGAGGCCATCTACTTTCTAGGACTATAAATAGTTATAATTATAAATTGATATTTTTGTGAGAAATATGAAGACATAAGACCTTCTTGTTCAATGACAACCAGGTCCCGCCTCTAAGAAATACTCTTCCTCTTATTGGTCTAAAAAAATAAGAACGTGATCCTGATTGGACAATATGTTGTTAACCTAAAGGCTGATTGGTTGAATACGCCCCGACCCCACTTTCATTCCTGACAATCCTGACACAGCGAGCTAGCGGTCATTCACGTGAATTGTTTAGTTTACTCACATTGTGCCGGCGGTAGACAAATGTAATTTTTAAAAAATTCACTTCTCCGAGCTCCAGCCTTGATCCTGTTTGCCACAGGTTTGCTCATCTGCCTTACACCAAGGTAGAGGAGCTTGGCGATAGGGAAGGCACCAACAACCATCTTGGCGGAAACGCTCCAATGACGGGCGGAACACGCACACAGGTCACGCGATGACGTACTGAAAGGGATAAAATAAAAATAACATATTTACTGATCAATAAAAATATTACTTCACCTTATTTGATTGACATGACTTACTTCCAAACCATTCAAAGTTATTTATTTTACCCATATTCATATAGCCTACAACACAAAGGCGCTGTATGTCACAAAATAGCCTAATCATCTAAATGACCACAATTAACACAATAGATAAGCTATAAGCTATGTAGGCTCATGAAGTAATATTTAATTTATTTGTAAAGTATCCCAGTGTTTAAAACAGGGACTTTCCTAGAAAGTAAAACACTTGGGGTAATGCGGTAAACTTTCGCTTTAGGCCTGTGCCTATTTGTATTAGATACAATCAAAGGCCTACTTTCAGATATTCATTCATATTTTATATCCATACTTTGATATACGGGATCGGAAGATGTGCCCATACAGCTGCGTAGAACACCTGTCTCGGGTTACAGCGGTGACTAGACCGAGGGGCTGGACTCCAGAATCGGTGGAGCGATGACTACATAAGCGTCTAGAGCTCCTGCCACAAGAGACGAGCAAACTTGACAAAGTTCTTACGGGACTTGAAAAGGACTTAACGCACCCTCAATCAGAAGGGAACAAGTAGGCTTCAAGAGGTAAGACACTTTTGTATGTACATGATTATTGAAAACAGTGTGTAGACGGTGGCGAATGACACTGATAAGGCTGGATCTAAAGAGCAGGAGTCTACAGAAGTGTATGCTGCTAATCATAGGTCTTTTCCGGAAAAGGGGTTTATTCTTATTCTCCCTTTTGGGGCATTTGTGAGGAGGAGCCAGCTACTTGCTTAATGAATATCAGATGTTATACCACTCCTGGCAAAGGCTTCATGAAAGACTGCAACCACAAAGGAAATCCTCTGGCAAAAGCTATGCTGGAAAAGTGTTAGGTGTGTTTGTTATACTGATTTCTAATGTAATGTGAAGTTGAACTTTGAAGTTGCAACTTACTGTCTTATTTCTTACCTTCTCAAAGCCAACCCAACTGTGTCAGGCCAGAATTTTGGCACTCATCCAGCATGCAAGTCTCCTACAGATCCAGATTTTTACAGCTTGCTGCAACCTGTTAAGCCAAATGTATTTGTCAACAATGTGATTTGAATGTTTCCCTCCGCTCCTACGGGCACGTTCAATCACATTTTCTGACTGTGGAGCCAGAGCCAACATTAGAAAGGTTGTTCAACTTGTTAGAAATGCCTGTTATTTTGTGTGACACTGTGAGTTGGTTTGTCACATACTGTTGAGAACTTTAGGGTTCCTGCAACACATAGTGCCAAGCAAGATGTCAACGTTGTAAGTCAGAAATGAGACATTTTACAAAATATTGTTTAAAGTGCATGTTGAAAAGACGTTAATTAGATAATTGTAAACCTATATTAAAGGTCCACTAGGACCTCATCACTTTACCCTGTAATGGATTCAGCTATTTACATGGAGACAGGCAGGTAACGCACTTCAACTCTATGAAAAGGTGACCTTGCTCTCAGTAAAAAAGCATGTTTAAAAATAGCCTATAAGTTTAGCTTATAAACTGATACTTGTTTCATTGTAGCCTACTGTAGAACCTTCCAGGCAAAGCAATAACATATCTGTAACCCTGAAATTATTGTGGATGTCAATTTAAATGATAATGATTATTTAATGAACAGTATGATCCAAAGAAAGCATTTGGCTTTTCAAGTACTACCACATAAAAAACAGGTCTATAACAGAACTATTCCAGGTCTAATCTAGGGCTAAACCAAGTCTAAAAAAATATCCAAAGAAGGATAAAAACGTGGAGTGAAGGAAGTCTGGGAGTCCCTGCTTAGACTGCTGCCCCCGCGACCTGGCCCCGGATAAGCGGAAGAAAATGGATGAATGGATAAAAATGTTGTTTAAATTAGGCAAATCCACATACTGAAGAGCTCTTCCAAGTACCACCTGAATAAGCTCATGTTCCAAAAGTGATACCCATACCACAATTTGAAAAACACTAGTATAATTGTAATTAAAGAAATAACATCTGTTGCTAAAAAAAAGTAAATATTAATTTAACATGCTTTTTATTGGGCTGTTTGTGCTACATTTACATCCATAAATTCAGATTTGATTTCATAAAGCTGGTCACACTAAAAATGTGATCTAAAATGGTTTCTTCTTCCCACAATAATAGTAACTCTAAAATATGACTTAGTGACATCCCTAAATATAATCGGGTAAACTGTTTTCTTTAGCACAGCAAGGTTACATTCTGGTGACTAACCTGGGAAAAAACATTGTAGGTACATTTTAAACATACTGTAGCTGGTGTTTTTACAGGCAGGAGAAGCATGTAGACAGTAGTAGTTGTAACTACATTGCACTGAGGTCACTTTAAAAACATTTGTCACAGTCATGATTTGTTACAGTGGGTAAAGTACAACTTTATATTTCAATGCACAAAATTACATTATAATTATGTAGATTCCCCTGGTTTCTCTTGGCCTCACTCACCACAAATTGATGAGTAGGCCTTAGAATCAAGATACACTCCCAGTTCCGACCCATGAGGTAATAATGTGCAAATGTACACAAGTTAATTATTACAAGTTAAACCCTAACATACAAGGTTGCACAAGGTTTTTGCTTTGACTTGAGTTATAAAGTGGTCAGTTAAAAAGATCTCACTGCCTTTCAGTCTGAGCCAAGTTCCTTGCTAGGTTACAGTGTTAAAAAATGTGGAGGAAGGATATGGAGGAGGGACCAACTATTGTGAAACAAGGCAAAGGGAGAGAGGATGAAGGCAAAGGGAGAGAGTTCTACAGAAACTTAATACATACTGTCAGGATATGTCGGCTATGGCAGTTCTCAAATCTTTCATACCATGTACCACCAAGAAAATGTTTGGCCTTCTTAGTAACACCAGGTTTAAATAGAGGTATTTCAAGCAGAAACTAGGACAACATCAAGTATAAACATAGACTACACAACTGCTATATATACACAGTTGTAGGCAATAAATAGAATAAAAGACATTATTACCAGGTATTTCAGTTTCTCATGGTTATAATCTGAAGCATAGATGTTTAAATCTAGCTCATCCTAATTAATGCACTGGCTCTTGTTTGTGATACGTGCCTGTATGAATGACAGCAGTGACTAAGCAGCTGGCCTTCGTCATGACTCGTGTGAGTTAACAGATTATGCACAGAATTGAAATGAAACATGTCTAGATAGTGTATAAAATGTTTTTTGTTTATATGTTATATGTTTTTATCTCATACATTCATAATGGTAGAGTAAGAGGTTTTTGGTTTTTGTAAATAAAGTATAAAGGCCATAATTAACATATTTAACAAGGCTAAAAATGAAAATAATTTGCATTTAGCATTAACAAGCGCCATAAAAGACCCCATAAAATCGAAGGTGGACCTCTCAAGAGGCTTTCCTTTTCGGGGAAAACACAAGCATTTTAACTATTTAAGAATAATGGCTTAAAGCGCTATCCACAAAACAACTACTGGACCACGGGTGTATTTGGGAATTTGGTATAGCTGTGGAAAGGACAGTAAGATGATTTCACAGTGAAATAATAAATTGTATTAATAACTCAACACAATTTCAGAGTGAAAAGGTGGTGGTGTCATAAACAGTATTGCTGATAGGATGCAGAGATTTGGTGTGATTTTGGGTTGACGCTTGTGACTGTAGTGAGAGTGTTGTGTCTTTCAGTGTTTGACAGAGATAAGGACCTCGGCCCTCAGACAATGTTTGTGCTGAATGCCATCAGAGGTGTGGTGAGGAATGTGGGCCTGCGACCTGAACTCAGCTACACAACAGCATGACAGTACTGTTATTATCGACCTGTCCTTTCCCAGAACAATTATATAACTCACAAGCCTCTCAAATTCAAAGAGTTTTTTAGGACTAACTCTTATCTGTGTTAGCTGGCAAACTACCTACCAAAAGTCAAATAAAATACCCTAGATCGTCAAACTTTTTTCATCAAGGGCCACATATCTAAACACAGACGAAGCAGAGGGCCGATCGAGGGCCGTAGACATGCTCAGTACAGGGAATAATTGAAATATGTGCATGTTTAACACATTAGAATGAGCCATCAGTCTTTATTCATGCTAAGATCCTTAAAACCACACACTAAGTATGAAATATTAGCTTTATCAAGGTAGATTTTCAAAAAACTTGCAGTAAAAAAATATTTTTCAATTGATGCAAGGTAATTTGGGCCAACTGACCTGAAAGTCTGAGGGCCAAGAAAAACTTGTCTGAGGGCCCCCTTTGGCCCCCAGGCCATAGTTTGGACATGCCTGCCCTAGATAATGGGAATGCAGTTGTAGTTTAAATTGCTTTGCTGACATTTACATATGAAGACCGATTAATCATTTATGAGTAAAATGGGAGTTGCTTTACATGCCTTGACATGATATCATTTTTTAAATCTAAAAGGGCATTGTAAAAATGTACTGTTGTCATGGTCCTGCTTTTCAACTCTACTAGGGTGTGCCTATCTTGCTGTGTCTTCTTCAAAAGTTACTAGGTCACCTTTGGTGTTATTGTTACATGCAAATCACATTACAAGGGACAATACTCTTAAACTAATAATGTTTTTGTTGGCACTCAAGGCTGTCTAGAGTGTTAGTACACTATAATCTGTTAATGAGTTGTGTGTGCTATTGTCTGAGGCTTTTGAATTGATGAATGTGTTGTCACCCTGAAACACCTGGAAACACAGACATAGATTAGTCAGAGAGCAGAGAGTAGACTAACTGCTTTTCACATGCACTGGGACTGTATGGCCAATGGTACTGTATATCTGCTATCAGCTACATTGCAAATTGAGGCTTGTTACAACATGAACACAGTATGTAACAAATCCATAATGTCTAGATGTGGCCTTAGGCACTGTTTAAAATAGAGCAATTTTGTTTTGTGTTGTTGAATGAGATGAAGCTACAAAGTAGATCGTGTTGTGCAACGATTTAAGATGTTAGTCTAAGGTGGATTTTAACTGTTTCTGTGTTCCAAATTCAGGAGCTGAATGTTGCTACCATGACATCACAGGCAGGCTATGGCAGCAGCATGCTATGTAAGTTTGTGTTTATGCAACTGTCTTTTTGTTCTGAGTGCTTAATAACTTTGTTTTGTTTTTATGTAACTGATGTACAGTCCGGTCAATAAATGAAGACCTGAATGCATCACTGGCCACAGCCGATGAATTATCCAAAGAGTTTAGTTCTCTGCTCAAAGAAGTATCATCAGATGGGAATGGCACGCCATCACAGGTACACTCCTGTTTTTTATGATTTGTTGTTGAGGGTTACACACTGTGGTTAACCCCATTAAAACATAAAAAAAACACACACACAGTACATTTTGGTATTTTCTCCACAGACCGGATTTAAAGAGTATAGGGAGACATCAGAGCCCATTCGCATGTCAAGCACATCGGTCACATCAACGGGGGCAAGTGGCAGCAGTACTGACAGCTACAGCAGCCAACCATTTTACAAAAGTCCTAACACTAATCGATCTCTGGACTCTGTCCTATCAGACAATCGTCCAGTTTCACCAGCTTTTTCTCATATCAAACTTCCACCTTCCAAAATTCAGTGGGAGCCACTCTCTGGACCTGACAGCTTTTCCTTCAGAATAGACAGCCCCAAACAATCTCCAAAAACCCATAGGCGAAATTCCCCTGTCAGGAGTCCACGTATTTCAACCAGTTACATGGAGAGAAGCGTTTCTCCCATTCCTTCAGCTCTTCCTCCATCACCCCGCACCTCCACTAGCTCTTACTCCTCCTCTGGCATGCTCAGCCCTTATGATAATGCCCAGATGGGACGAAGATCTCCGAGACCAGACAGAAGCCCTTCACCACTGTCTTTCAATCACCCTATATCCAGCACTTTACCTCGAAACTTCAGACCAGCAGGTATATTGTCAATAAATATTCAGTTATTTTTTTTAATAACATTCCAATTCAACATATTTTATGCAGAAGAAACAATGCAGCGTCAGAAGTCTCCCAGCAAGTGGAGTGAGACAGATCTTGACATGTCCTATGAGAGAAAACCTCACCACACATATGACAGTTAGTTTATTTTTATCACAATTATATATCACATTGCAATAATTAAGTGTAAAAAAGCTTTAAAGCTCACCTCCGTATTCTCCAGAAACTGATTGGCTGCGGCCTATGGTGCCAAGCAGCAGCTGGAGGGAATCAAACCTGGATGGGCCTCTCCAGCCAAGCCCCAAAAAGGTAGGCCTAAAATATACATATCAATAAAATACAATGTGCTTGAGCATTTTGACAATAGTGTGTGACACCCATATTCCCCCTGGTTCTTCTGTTGTAGGAGTCTCGCTCTCCATCTCATCAGTCATACAGTTCCCTTCCTCGTACCACACGTATTGCCGTTCCTCCGGATGCTTCTTCACAGGGATTTTCACCGTACCTCCCTCAACCCATCATCTCCCGTATCTCTATGCCTCCCACTTCGACCCCGCCACGCCAGCGCCGACCCATTCCTCTATCTGTCATAATGCGTCTACAGAATCCCCATCTGTCAACCTATCAGCCTGCTGTACCCCTCCCAAGGGAGTACTTCTTCCCACCTGCACAACAACCCCAACAAAGGCCCCCTGAGCTCAGACAGCCACCTGTGTACAGTGATGGTAAAAGATTAACATTTTTGAAAACTTTAACACACAACTGTATGAAACTTGTATGTCTCTGTCTTTACAGCGCTGAATCCATCTGATGTTGATGCTGAGTTGGAGGCTATTGATATGACGCATCATATGAGTGTAATTGATGAAAACACCATACTTGAGCCCATCAAAGACCAGGGGGCTCAGATTGCGCCCCGCCCCCTTAGCCCCACCAGACTGCAGCCAGTGGTGGCCCCGGAGGCCCAGGTTCAAGAGATCCCAAATCTGGAGGAGCTGTTGGCCATACGAGCAGAGATCCCCCGTGCTTTGAAGAGAAGGGGGTCCATGGACCAGACTCGCCCTCTAAAGAGTGCATCCCGTTATGAGCCTAACCAGTATAAGCATCTCATCAGCAATCTCTTCCGCAAAAAGGAACGCCATTCTAAAGGGGATCCCGGTAGTGATGACAGCAGCTCTGATGAAGAAGAATTTGCCACCCCTCCTTCTCTTCCTACAGCCACAATGTCTCCCCATGGATACAAGGTAAGAATCACAGATGACTCAATTAGAAATGTTAAAATTGTATATGACCTTGTATTATGTGTTTAACACAGCACTCCTTTGTGCAGAGTTATCAGTCCATCCTGCGTAAGCCCAGAGAGCGCAAGTCATCTGGGAAGCGAGCTCGCCTGAGCCCCCTGGTGTTGGCCCTGGATGGGGCACTTGTGGGTGAACTGGACACAGTTCAGCGGGCCATGCAAGAGGTGTGTGCCCAGACCTAATACAGTAATAAATATGATGTATATAGCACTTTTTTGACACTCAAAGAGGCTTTACATTATATTATTCATTCACTCCACACTCTGTGGTTGCAGCTGCCAGTTTGTGCCATCTGCCCCTCCGACCACAGCCAATCACTCACACACAGACACACACCACTTTGATACATGGCAATGTCGGCAAAGTGGCTTGCCTAAGGGCATAGCAATATTTTTTTCCACTGGGGCCACACTGTGGCACCTGATATTCCCAGTGGTCTTACATCTAAGTTTTAACCAGGCCCAGCCTTGTTTAGCTTCTGAGATCTGATGAGATCAGGCTTTGACCAGGTTGGCCATATATATGCCTGTATAATACAGAATGTCATTGGTGTTCAGTTAAAAAAACATACTTACAAAAGAATCTCATGTTATAAATAAAATAATTGTTTTTGGCAGATGAATGATCCCAGCCAACCTAATGATGAAGGTATAACTGCTCTTCACAATGCAATCTGTGGAGGCCACTACAATGTTGTGGACTTCTTGGTCCGTATTGGAGCAAATGTCAGTGCTCCAGACAGCCATGGATGGTACATAGTATTTACTTTTGGTTTTTTTTGTTTTTTTAATCTCAGTAAGCGATAATAGTACTTGGGAAATCTGACATGTATTGTATTTGTTGCTCATAGGACACCTCTACATTGTGCAGCTTCATGTAACGACAGAAATCTTTGTGAGTTTTTGGTGAGAAATGGAGCAGCTGTTATGGCCGTAACAGAAAGTGACTGGGCAACTGCTTCACAAAAGTGTGATCCATTTGCAGTTGGATTCGAGGAGTGTGAAAACTTCCTAAGGGGTGAGTTCAACCATGAACGCACTATAATTTAGTAATCATAATTCAGTGGATCAAGAGTTTCAAGTCCTACAGTCTGAACATGCAGGAACATGTTTATTTTTGCACAGTCACGAGATTGTAGCACAGCTATTTCCTTACTTTACATTATTAGCATAGTTATGGTAAAATACTGTATATTACACCTCACTAACACTGACATTGGGCTCACATTATTTAACGCAGGTACTGATTGTTGAAATATATAGATCGTGTCTTATTATTCCCTTTTGGAAATGTAAGTAACTGTCCTATTACAGGAGTGGAGGAGGCCATGGGTGTGGAGAACAGTGGTGTCTTATATGCTCTTTGGAGTTACCCAGCCCAAGCACCTGATGAGTTAAGCTTTAAGGATGGAGATATGGTTACAATTCTACAGAAACAAGAGGGCTCTGACTGGTGGTGGGCCTCACTGTGTGGAAGAGAAGGGTTTGTGCCTAATAACTACTTTGGGGTAAGCTCCAAAAATTACATTCATACGTCCCAACAAGTGGTATTAAAGTGTAATAACTTTTTTCCTTTTGTTTTTAGTTATTCCCAAAGGTACGACCAAAAACTATGTGCTGAATAGCTGAAGAACACTATTTGGTATGCAGTGTAGTGTAATTTTTTAATTACAGGAAAATATTTATCCGTGTGCCATAAAATGTTGGCCTTACTGACAAGGATATCTGTTTGTGCCCATCCAAACCAGTCCTTCGGTGCAGCTTAGGTAATCTACCAGGATCGGTAGTGGTCCACAGTACAGCACCTGGAAACCAACATGCAGACCAGGAGAACCTAGATGGAAGATTACTCAAAATGTCCTGTCAAACTTTGTTTAGCTGCTAATGGTATATAAAGTCGAAACATTACATAGAAAAACAATAACCATTATTTTGGGACTTTAACTTTAAAAACCTTAGATTATAACACGGTTGTTTGATTCAATTCATCAAACTCTCACTTACCAGTTCTGCTTTTTTATGCATCATCAAAAACAAAGATCATTGTGTGCCTGTTAACACTGTTACTGGAAAAACCTGACTAAATGGAGGGAACTGTTTGTGACAATAGAGAATTGCTGCCCCTATAACATAGATTAAACTGTTAATTTAATGCCATAATAATGGGTGTGTCTATGATCCCTGCTCTGTAAGAGCTATGTGTAGGTTGTACCATTTTTACAAATGAGGAATGTATATAGTGAATAGTGACACTGACTTACATTTGTATTAACAGTGAACAGAATAAAACATTTGAATATGTGCTAACTTAGTTTCCTGCTTGTAAAGTGAGCCAGAGGAAAATAGACTACTTTAATCATACACTTTTGCACCTTCTAAAAATGAGCTTATTCAAGACGTGATATGGCACTATTTTTTTAAGTGAAAAGTCCATTACTAACCAACAGGTGGCACTATACATTAGGTCTAACGCTGCGCTTCTGTAGAAAAGCCACATTAAGATTCCAGTATTGCTTTTTGTTAAAAAAAAATGCTCTTTTATCATATCCTTTATTAAACATACATGTTTGTTTTGAGGTCTGTTTATTCATAAGACTTCTTCCACCTTCCACCACCAGTCCAGACTATCTTTTATTGTTTTAATTAAGGCAGACTAAGGCCTTCATCATGCTTATAGGCAATTTATGGAGAAGAGGAGACTCCGTGTAGAATAGTAATTAAGGAAATGTTTTGTACAGTGTATAAGTGTTCATTGATTTGAGGCTGCAAGTTGCTATACAGACATGTTATGAGCTAACATTTACCAAACAGGAATGATGGCTCATTGAAATCCCATTATCTGCAGCCAGAGTGCAAAGAGCCGTTATTGTAGGTTCAGGACAGGACCGAGGTGACTTGCCCAGTCTGCTCCATGTTCTCACACTTTTTAGACTTCTCACTAAACATTGAACTGCCACAGTCATGCTGATAACTGCCTCTGCGGTCTGTGCCCATCTCAAACTCCTGACACCTCAAGACAGTCAGATCAGGTCAAATAGACGCCACAAAGCTCTTAAAGGAAATGGCAGAGTGAAATGCCACAGAAGTTCTCAAAATTGTAGAGATAAAATTATAAAACATTGTTAATTATCATTATAAATTCAAATTTAAGCACACAAAGGGAAAATCATTTGAAAACATATATTAAAAATCACAAACATAAGTACCACTAAGACTGCTACAACTACTTTAATAGTAAATGCTGCTACATCCCATATTTATATATTTACTATTGATAAATTTACTTACATAGGCTAATTGCTTGTAAGTGTCAAGTTCTAAAGAATCTATACGTCTGTTTTGAAATTGAGCTTGATTGCTTAAAGGAGCAACTTTTTCAGTGCAGGGTTCACTACCTTCCTCATCTTAATGAAGATGTAATTGCTTTTCATAAAATGTTCAGCAGTATGCCAATAAATGTATCCATACTCATGAAGACAAGCAGATAATGCCATTAGCTGAAGTTACAGTCCAATTCTGTGGACAAAGGCAACCCTGGTCACAGTAAGAATGCAACCAGCTTAGCACAACACAAGCCTGACGATGCAGACTCAATATAAAACTGTCTTATGCACAGAGACATGAATACACTGTCATTCTGATGATAACAAGAGTAAACCCACAGGTCATTAAATTTGAATGCCATCTCACTTGCACTTCAGAGGTGAGTCATTTAGGTTTTTTGCAAGAAGAGGACTTTACAATGTGATCTCACCAAACCCATATATTCATAATTTAGAGATTACAAACACAACTGTAACTGTAGCTATTTAGCCATGGGAGTATTTTTAAAGGTCCTATCTTACGTATGCAGATCTGATCATTGTGAGCTTTAAGCCATGTTAATGTCGTCCTCAAAAACATACCTGGAATTGTGTTTTGTTTCATTCACACACACCGTTATTATTAGTCTGTCTACATCTCCAAAGCTCAAAATGCTGTTTCACCTTGTGATGTCATGAAGTCAAGTTAACAACTATTTTTTCCTTTTATTCAGTAGAGATTGCCCAGGGCTGAAATTATCCAATTCATTTTAAATAAGGTGTATGGAGTTTAGCAACACTGTGTAACACTTCCTGTATGACATGGCATTACAAGGTGGAATAGAGTGTTTTCTGTGTGATACAGCCTAAAAATTCAGGGTTCGTGTGTTAAACATGTCTGAATGAAACAAAACACAACTCCAGGTATGTTTCTGATGAGGAAACAGCATTATAACATAGATGAAAAAAATAGCATAATATGGGCCCTTAAAAGGCACATGCACTGGCAATTGCATATTTACTTCCAAATATACAGACAATAACAGGCTTGACATTATGAAGATAACAAAAAAAGCTGTGTACTTCATCTGCTAGTGGCCATAATGTTATGGTAAATTAGTATGTAACAACAAACAGCTAAAATAAGTCACTCCAGTTCAATATTGCAAATAATCCACCATTGCTATTTTTATACTGCATACTCTCTTCAATCCACCTTGGCCTCTGTAATGCTATAGGAGGCAGTCTTCAGAAACGTATGCACCTACTGTTTTTCTGTTAAAAAAACAAAAATAAGCAAAACAATCCCAGATATCCCTCCATATTTATGAGTATATTTCATGGTTGTCATTGTGGCCAGCTCTCTCTCTGTTCCTGTGGAGTAATGAATAATAGAGGAGTGCTTGTCCTTGCTCACTCGCCTAGTTAATCAGAGCTTGCCTGGCCGCCCTCCTCTTGCCACTCCTCACTTTAATAAATCATTCAGGCCTTCAAGATGACAAGCCTGTCAGCTCACACTAAGTAGGGCCAACCTGCTTTAAACTCTGCCATGTTTTTGTCCTCTTTAGGATGGATTTGAAACTGGAAGCTAGGTAATGCTTCTTTCATTTGCTCATTGATATTCAGTGATGGGACAAGACACAATTTCCACAAGACGAGACAAAATACAAGATCGGGTCCACGAGAACAAGACAAGAGGAGATTTTAGATTTATAATTCCTAATATATAAATTTCCAATTTCCAATATAAGTTTCCAATTTTGGCCTCACAAAAAACATTTTGAATTAAAAACACAATTTCCAATTTTTTTATTAGTCAAATATATTATAGCCTACTACATATAAATATAACAATCTGTCACTGTTAACATGTATGCAGATATGCAGTTTTCAAATGGTCAAGGTGCCTTTGTGGTTGGACTACATGAAAAAACATTCAGATTATTTTAAGTCTAGACTCATTCGACTGTAAAATGCAGACTATCCCTGGAGTCAGTTTGCCCATGGGGTCATGAGCAGTTTCTTCTCTGTGTTTGGGTTTTGCTTATTTAGATGAACTCTGCCTGATGTAACATTTAAAGGGAAAGTCATAGAAGACAGCTCAACATTGTGGGCATTTGTGGGCATCACACTGAGTCACAAGAAATCAAAAGCAAAAAGGGTAGGATTTTCTAAAGGGTACAGTGATTTAGGATTAAATTCTGTAGGTCCATAAAAGGTCACAGATAGGTCACAGTCAGTCTACTTGTATTGGTCCCATGCATGGAAGGTATTGGAGGGTGGGCTATATTGATAAAAATTAATTACTCAATATTTTTGGGGATTCTCAGTGTAAAAGGTTCCACAAAGCAAATAAACAAACTGCAGAAATATCACCTCATACCTTTGTATGATTCTGCTCTTTTTTATTGACAATGCTGATATTTCTTTATTGCATAAGTGTTCAGAGATAACTGTAATGTTTCAGACATTTACAAATTGTAAAGTGCATCCAGGACAAACTGCAAAACAAATATGCTGACATACTGTATACATTGTACTCAAAAATTATAAAGTAAATGCTCTCAATGTAAAATAATAAAATATTATAAATATATATATTAAAAAACAATAAAAGTGCTATTTGTGTCACAATCCTCTGCTTCCATCCTCCCACTTGCTACAACCTCCCATCTCTCCACATTTCTGCATGTACAGACTCACAGTGCCAGGACAGCACTTCTTCCAAATCGGTCTGCATTACCCATGATTCCACAGCTCATTCCTCCTCAGTGAAGTGGGGTATTAATCACTGTAAATGCTGAAAAGCCACAGATCCTTGTCCAGTCCAGCATCCCTCATCTGCCTGACTAGCATGTTTCTGTCCCATGGCATTAACAACTCAAGCTCCTCTCAGGACTCACATAGGGATTTAAAGGGCCACTTAAGCCATAATTTTATTATTAACTGTATGTGTGGGCATGTGTAGTGAGCGCATACCACGGACAGGAAATGATCATTTTACACTCTCCTAATTAGCTGTATTAATTTGATCATGAATTACTATTACACTATTAAATAATATAGACTGCAATCAATAGTACTTATGGATAAGTCATATTAGTACCCAATATATAGCGCTAAAGATGATTTGTTCACTTATTTTTTGTAGAGCTGATAAACTCATTGATTCATTCTGCACTGAAGCTCAAAGGTTTCCTTAGATCAAAACAAATTAGAATCTCCTTAGAAACCTATGTTAAATATGTGTTAATATGACTTTGTCATAGCCTCAATAATTTTAAGATGCATTTCAAAATGTATTTTTATCAAATGTGCTTATAGTGCAATAAAAATAAAACATGACCCTCGTAAAGACAGAAAATTATACACATGCACTCTGGAGTTTTTTGTTGTTTTTTTTTTCCCCGCCAGTCCCAAATCCCTAGTATCCCACTCTCTCACACAACACAATCCTGTATTATGCTATTCTTTAAACACCCATGGTTTATACATGATCTGCTGTTGAATATCCAAACTTATTGTATGTGGATAGTGAGATGACGGAGCTGTGTTCATGTGTGGGCGTTTGTGTAAATTTCACACTGTGCTATCTCCATTGTGCTGGTTTCCCTCAGCGACTCTCCTTGTGTATGATAAATAATTAACTCCAAGAACACAGTGAGAGAACATGCAAGGGCTAAAAAACAACTGGTGTAGGTATTTTTCTATGGAGCATTTCCTTTGTTGGGCTGTGTATCACCCTCCTCATGTTTAAATCAAGTTGCTTCAGCTCAGAGCAGATGTGAGATTGAGACATTTTTGTGTTTGGTTCAGAATATTTGGCACACAGACACGGTTATTGTTTATGTTTATATTATATTATTTATATTGTGCATTATAAAGTAATCGGTTGTTTTTGTTTTCAGGCCTATTGTGTAGGATTTGGGGGGAGGTTGGTAGCCTATAATGCACTAGAAGGTCTTTTAGTATCAGTATACAGGTGTTTTGGCATTTTTTACAGGAATTCTCAAATCACCTTGTACAGCATAAATATATAATCTAGCTCCATAAATAAGTAGCTTTAAGACATATAAGATGAATGAGGCTGTGGACCCAATTGTTGACATAAAGAATCAGGCATATCATTTGTGTCTAGTTAGGCCCGAGCGCCAGAGGCTGGCGAAAGGCCTAATAGTATCGCAAAGCGATGCTCCGAGTGGCCGAAAAATTGAATGGCGCGACGTGACTCGCCCGTAGTGACCAGGGACCCTCGGCATCACGTAGCAATGCGCCAGAGGTTTCCGAAAATTTAGTTTGTCGGCCAAAAAAAAATCGAACATTGTTCTCGCATCAGAATATTATTCTTTCGTCTTTCTTTCTTTCTTTCTTATTATTTTTTTCCTAACCAACTCACCCATTTTTCACCCACTAAACAATGACGAAAAGTCCTGGAAATTTTGCCATCTGGTAAAACTCGCGCTTCCCTACGTTTTGGCTATTTCCATTTTCCAAACATAAATAAAATGGCTCGTCAGCGCCACCAAACGACTCAAAAATGCATTAGGGAATACGAATGACACAAAAAAAATGTGCACGTACAATCATGAAATTTGACACAGAAGTGGATCATGTCAAAACAAGGAAAAAATATTATTACACCAACACCGTGCGCTCCACTAGGGGGCAGCAATATTGGCTGAAAGTTTGCTAAGCTTTTACGAACTCTTCCGAGGGCGTTCACCCGAACGAGCTAAAATTTGGTCCACATTATCTCAAGACGTGGAACATCAAAAGTTATCCACATTTTTCACACACGTCTTACGGTCTCTGAGCAGTGAAGCAACAAAAAATGCACACAATTTTGGAGATTTACAAATTCCTCCCATTTGCTCAAACGAACTCCGATTTCAATGAAATTTGAAACAGTTGTTAAACTCTCTGCCCTGAAGCTACTTGATGTGAAAATTATGAATTTGGCGCATTAGCGCACCCTATAGATTGAAACAAAATTTAATATAGAAGAAAATCATTTGCTCCCAAACAGTTGTTCAAAAATTTCAGAAATTTTGCACAAAATTCCATTTTGGCATCCTGATCCAAAAGTCAGTGACACCCATGTCATATTTTTTATGGCGTTGCCATAGCGATGACATAAACTCTCCATTGGTAAAATCTACAAATTCTGGCACAAAACTTTGGCCGATTTCACTCAAATTTGAATCGTTGATTGACACCCCGAACCTGAACAGATTTATATAAGAAAATCTCAGATGGGCACAATAGTGCCCCCTAGGGAAATTGCATGGTAGTGCAAACATTTACTTTGTTGTAGACATATAAAATTTGGTACACAGATTCATGACATGGTCTTGATCAAAAAAGTCAATAATGACCCCATGCCATTTCCCATCGTGTTGCCATGGTGACAGGCTAAACATCTGCCCTTGCCAATAGGACGCCCAACAAAAACTTTGGCGTAGCCAAACCAAATTTGGTACACATATGCATCATGGGAATAGGAACAAAAAAGTATATTACGTGGTTGCTCGGCAACCAACAGGAAGTCAGCCATATTGGATTGATAGTGCGACCTATCCTCATATTTAAACAAATTCGTCCTAGGGCTTTTGACCCAGACAGAATCATTCTGTATCATCTAGACAAGTGGGACATTAAAAGTTGTTAAAAGCTTTTTTAAAAAGGTCAAACAGTGTTGCCGTGGCAACGGTGCAAATTTCGGTTTCGTTTTTAGGGCTCACCATCAAACTTCAATGCCTGATAATTTGCACAAACTTTGGCCGATTTCACTCAAATTTTAATCGTGAGTTCACACCTCAACCCTGAAAAGACTGATGTAAGTAAAGAGGGTGCAATAGCGCCCCCTAGTGATTTGCACAAACTTTGGCCAATTTCACTCAAATTTTAATCGTGGGTTCACACCCCGACCATGAACAGACTGATGTAAGAAAATACAAAAATGGGTGCAATAGCGCCCCCTAGTAAAATTGTATGTAAAAATAAGGTTTTATTTGTCACAGATATACAAAATTTGGTACTCACATTTGTGACATGGTCTCACCCCATTTACATTGTGTTGACATGGCAACAAGCCAAAATTGTATCCTTGCCAATGGGACGTCCTTACACAAACGCTGGCGTAGCCAAACCAAATTTGGTAGCCAGATGCATCATGGCAATAAGAACAAAAATGTATATTGTGACCACGCCCCTTTACAAACCGGAAGTCCGCCATCTTGGATTTATTTTTATTTTTTTCCAAATTATTTAAAATTGCAGAGTTAGATTAAGATTTTTAGGGCTAGGGTTGGGGCTATGGTTAGGATTATGATTAGGGTAAGGTTTAAGTTTAGGCTTAAACCTTAAGTTTAGGGTTAGGGTCGCCGTTTGTGGGGCGCGGCGTTTGCGGAGCGCGGCGTAAGCACGCGCGAGGGCCGATCATTGCCGCTTGCGGCTATATTTATGATTATAATTATGCTTTCCTTTTATTTTTACACTCAAAGAAGCTCTACATTGGATTATTTAGTCATTCCACACCTGATAGTGGTGAGCAACTTATGTAGCCACAGCTGCCCTAGGGTAGATAAATGGAAACAAAGCTGTACAAAGCGCAGGCCCAACACTGCTTGGCTTCCAAGATCAGGTGAGATTGGTCATTTTAAAAGTGGTATGGCGGCCGTCTACAGGCCCCTGCCCTAAGCATTTATAATGTCTTTTATCATGTTTTAGCTTTCCTGCTTGCTTTGTATTGGATTAGTGTTTTCTCCATTGAGCTACTTAGCACCTAAAGCTTTTTGCTAATGCTACTCTCCACACTCTTTGCTGATGTGGCCCTCTCCAGTGCTGCCACAGCGTTCTTGAAGCAATAACAGATTCTTACATTGAAATTCTAAGGCCCTCAGCGCTTCCCATCTCATTGATAATGTTAACACAAGCCCTCTGCTGAAAAATGTGTTCATTTGTCATGTCTTTCCCCCTGCGGTCTCTGCATTTGTACTGTTGCCTTTCTCATCCCGTCCTTAACTCATCACTCTTCAATCGGCTCAGACAAGCCCAGAGGCCATGTACGGGCTCTATGACCCATTGACACACAGACATCAATAACTTTGGCACATGACATTAGAAAACAAATATTTACTCTATAAAAGGTATTTTTCAATGGATTCACAAAGAGAGCAATGCAAAAAATCAAAAACAATTTATGTAACTAGGGGTGACAGTGGGGGGGCCTGCTTATTTCTGCACCACCAACATACTGATGGTTGCATGGTTCTAATGCCTGCATATGTTGCTCTTTGCACTCAGTATGTTGGAGACTTCTATTTTCAGTTACTACAGAATGAATGTTGTCAGCTATTATTCTTTGATTTCTTTGAACTTTGGGCCTTAAAAGTGTAATGACAAATGGACTGTAGAACTGACAAAGTTTAATTATAAACTGTCTTAAAATAAATGCACGTTCTTGGATTTATTGAGCTTGATTTAAACTGACTAGAAAGAAAGATTTTGCTCAAAGCGGGATGCAATACAAAATGTCAACATATTTTATTTTCAGTATTTTTGTCTACATATAGATCAGTGCTAATCCCATAATGGAAAGAGAATGTATTAAAGGACCCCTCCCACTCAGGTTTGTGGTAAACATTAATGTGTGCTGCTGAATCGATACAGGACTGACATGAACAAAGTGTTACATGTGTCCAACCCCAATACAATATGTTAGTGCCCTCATCTCAAATACCCCCCAGTCTCCTTCCCCGTCCTCTACTCCATCGGCCGTTGCCAATAAATAAAAAGGGACAAGCAGAAAGAGATGAGAGAGGTGCACAGCATCAGAAAGATGTAAAAAAAAATAGAGAAAATGTATTTGAGGATGTGCATGGACTAAAAAGTCTTATTGATCCCTTGTTCAACATAGACAGAGCAGCTGTGAGACAGCATAAGACAAATGGGGCATTCAATAGGAGATTTGTGGCTGCACTGGACCAAACAACAACAAAAAATAGCCAAAAGGTTAAAACGTTTCGGGGGAGGGGAGTGCTCCTCATTAAATACTCCGCCTAAGCCCTGTGGATTTCATTGATTGTCAGTAGCCAAGCCTGATCCCTTTGGCGGTCCCTAAAATGAGCATGTGACTGCTGTTGTTTGTGAATCTTAAGTCCAATCCGTCCTGACTGGATCTTATAATGTGGAGTGGCCCATGCAGCTTTAAGTGGGTCAGAGGGTGATGCCTGATACAAAGTGAAGTCTGCCTGGCCTGGGGCATCTCTCTTCTCTGCAGCAGAACCACCAAATGACTCTGCACCACTTCTCCATCCCTCACTTTCTGCTCCTTGGACAATAGTATTTTTATATTTACCTCATGCGACATTGGCAGACTGTAGATTTTTATCTCACACCTTTCAGCATTTATGTAACTGTTTGTGCTGCAGGAGCTAACCTTACCATAGTGTTAATGGTGTTTCAACCTAAAATCCAGTTTCTGTCAGTAATCCTCTTTAAAAAAGAAAGAAAAGACTACACACAGTGCTTGTGTCTTTTCAATTAATTTCTTTAATAAGCCCAACTGCTGTGACCCGGGGCAGAATAAGTGCCTTTAATTCTCTCAAATTTAAACAACAGTGGATTTGCTACGTTAGACACTATGTTAGACACTACTATGATGTATCAAAAGATTGGGGTTGTTCAATTTTCTCCCCCAACCAGAGACATATTTGGCAGGCTATATGTGTTAATTGTGAATTGATAATAAACGATATATTGTGTTCTGGTGGGTTTAAACAAAAAGATGCTTAACATGTCATTATGGATTAAGGGTGTTTCATTGTAACATATTGAGATTATTTTAAAATATAATCCTAATAGCCTATTTGAAATGAACAGCAATGCCATATGCGGAGAGGAAGGGCCATATTGCGCACGTGCAGGGAGTGATCCTCATCGCTCCCATGTCCCTGATCTGTGATAGGACGTGGGAAGGGTTATCCTATTATTTCAGTGTCGTTAACAGAAGGCTTTAGGACCCCGCGGTGTAGCACTGGTCAGCAGCAGACCCGAGGCAGAGCAGAGGCGGAGAGGATGCGGAGGAGAGGGCTGCGGCTGCGACAATGTGACAGCGAGAGGACTGCAGAAAGTTGACGCCCGGAAAGATGAACTGAATTTTGGGTGATTTGTAAACCCCGATAGATGAAGAAAGGGGCAGTGTGACACACAGGTTTAACGGGATAAGCGCAAAAGGCACACCTGTGTTTAGGTCTTCCGTTGACCTCAGCTCGTGCGTTTCGAGCTGTGCACCTGAACTGCAGCCTACAGACTCAATGCACTGGAATCATCCTGAACGAACAGCACACGAGCAGCTGAGAAGAAGAGGTGAGATACAATCCTCTTTATCTCTCAGGGTGAAGCCGTCACTGTGGGCATAAAGGCTTTTTAAGTGAAGCCTATATAATGGATTGAGTCGCTAATGTATCGACGAAGAAAAACGCAAAAACACTGAAACCTAGTATTGTATGTGAATATTCCTCAGTATTTCATACGTCATACCTCTGCAGACTCATGTTTGTTTACTTTGACACAAAGACAATGGAATAGTGTGGGACCAAACAATTCATAGCTCATGCGCTGAAATAAAGCATAATGGCGAATAGTAAAATGTATAATTTTTGAAATCTTGTAGCATGTGGTGCTTTCAAAACATGTTATGGCTTGTTGTGTTGTTGGTCATTGCCAGTGGATGACAATGACAGCCTAATGACCTGTGTTCTAAACTTGGTCCATCCTGACAGCACTGGTTCATCCATTTGGTGTGGACTGTATGAGACTGATAAGCCTTTTGTCCCCAAAGTCAAATAGGCCACCGCAGAATGTGTCAACAGATTGAAGCAGGTTTTTCAGATTATCTTTGTCTCTCACATACAGGTCATTGTAATGTTCCCAGTTGCCCTTGGCTCAGGTAAACAGGATTGTCACTACAGTTCATACTAAGTCATCAACTAACAAAGGAATCTCAATGGCTGCATGCAAAATAATGATGAAAAAACATGACTACTGCATACATTTTAAATTACTTATAAGTCAATACAAGCCCATAGCTCCTAAGGCTTATATGAACAACAGAAAGAAAAACATATGGACTGCCCTATTTGCAGCAGCTGTGAGCACTGACCATGTCTTTGTGTGAACATGTAGGAGGCAGAGCTGAACACTTCACATGCTTCATTTACTGTGTGTGCATTCTGGAGTGTTATGATGCCGGACGTGTGTGCTGTGTTTGTGGACAAGTGTAGTTATGTAAAACATGTGTGTCTCCAATGTTAGCAGGGAGCATATATAATACACTGCTAAACAACACTGCCTTATACACATTCGGCACAATGGGATTCAAGTTATCGGGCGTGCGGCGTGACCTCTCTAATTTGATGTTAATAAGGTGTCTCTGCTGAAATCCCTCACAGTTCAATATGACAGTAACACATTCTTACTGGGAGGCTTGGTGAGCTGGATTTATCCCATCCTGTTATTATCAAGCTGAGCAGAGGAATAGTATTGAAATGGCAAATTAGCCTCTGCTTCATTTATCCTGCAGCACACTCTCCACTCCACTGTGAATGTGTTTCCATAGGAACATGATGTTACTCTGGGCTTCACAGGCTGCGCTATGCACTCTAGTTTTTTGCTTATCTTTCGTGCTCTTCTGTGAGACTGCGAAGCGAATCAATAGGATCATTAAAGGGCCACTTATATTTCACATTTTCATTCAGTGCAACATCCCACTGATGCATTTTGATTAAAGACTATAAGTATTTACAGCCCTATTTCCTATATGTGCATGGTTTCTTTTTCCTCAATACTACTTACAGAATCTCTTTGTCTGCTGAAATATCACGACAATTTCCCTTTTCCCTGTCTTAGTGTATAAAAGATATGATTACTGTAGCAAAAACTGCAGAGTACGCATTATAATTTGGTGGGATTCAGCAGCTCCTTTGTGGCAAGACTAAAAAGGCAACATTTCAGTTAATTGCACATTTCTATCTATGGGGGAAGCAGAAAGCCATCATTGCAGCAAAGGGTTGAGTACAGTGGTTTTGCTGAGAGCTTGGATTTACAACAGGTAATGTAGTCAGACACGCAAAAGCAAAAGAAGAGAAGACGTATCAGAGAAAAGTGAACGGTTATGCTGATTTTGTATGACACAGCAGCTGACTAAGTAGCAGACAGCAAGCACAGAAAGGCGAGCTCTTGTAAAAGTGTCAGTGATGATTTGCCGCTGTGTCCTTGCAACCTATCATCTACCTGACCGGATGCTTTATGGGAGAGGCAGAATCAGAGCGAGGCAGGCTTTAATACAGCTGACAGAAGACTTTTTATGGGGGACATAGGCCTGAGTAGCAGCAGGGCGGGATGTAATAAAGCAGAGTGCATCTCTACTGGAATGAAGCAAGTGGTGAGCCAGCCCTTGTTGTTATTCCAGGACACACCTCACAGAGAACCAGTCACCTCATTATGATGTCATTAGATTGGGCCTGTCAGTAAAATGTTATAATTAAAAAATGTTCACAGCTACAAATATATAAAGTATGGACACCCATGGCTCTTGGCCATTATTACATTTAGTTTTCAAAAGCTGAGTTTAAATTTAGTATCACTGTGTGGGCTAATCTATGACATTTTTACAGATACTTTCTCCAAATTTTTGAGTACAAGCAAAACCCTCTATACCCTGAAACCTCTATTTGGAAACACCTTACTACAATCACAACATATGGATGACTGATTCTTTATTAGAATGTTGCTTGAAATACTATTTACATGGTACTGCTCCATTTATGTCCTTGTGAGTCAGCCCCACCTACTTTCTTTTTGAATAAGAAAATACTTTTTGGCCAGGCTCCTTTGTTTGTGGTTAAGAGCTAGTCCTTCATAATGGGCTGAGACGGCATTCCAGTTTAAGGGTTTGTTTGGCCAAGCAGTCCTTAAAGGAAAACTATTCCAGTGATACCTAATTACTCCACAGTTTTCTTGCAAGGCATGCTGGGAAAACAGTGAGTCAGCGCATTGATTGGCAGTCTGTAAAATGCTTTGCATGCACAATATTTGTAAATCCTTTTTATTTTAAGTCAAATAGCACTTGACTTTTGTCATAAATTTAACTGGTTTAAATAAATATATTAATAACAACATTAACAATATTAAGTCTTTAGAACTAAATGTTTTGTTAATGTTGCCTAATACTGTATTCTGTAGCAGTAGAAATCATTATCTGATCTCCAAATAATCCTCTATTACATCATATAATAGAGACCGCCTGCTTTTCATCATCTCTGACACCTTTATCTCTAAGGTCAGACAGTACATAGTACAATGGCAGATTAGACCTCTTGCTGCTCAAAAATGTAGATGTAACTTATTTAATTAAAACTCAATTAAAATTGAGATATTATGATACACCTATATAGATTTATAATATATATAATATAATGCAATAGTGTGATGATTGATGATGAGTCAGAGAGGATTTTAGAAGAAAAACTAGCTCTTGTTTTGAAGATGAATTAAATTGAAATGTGTGAGTAGCATCACTAAATTACCTTTGTTTTTTTTATTTTTCCAAACAGAAATGACTGACGAGAACCCTTCACTTGGACTTCTACTCTTATATAAGATGAAGTGTGGTACTGCTCAAGTTCCCATAGGAGCCTAGCAGAGCCCACAATAACCCAAAGCCATAAATCACCACAGAAGCACTCCAACTGTCCATTATGCTCCAATGTAGCAGTACAGGAACAGGGGTGTTGTTATGCTGCTGACCCAACAACATACACCAAAGGATGCTATTTCTGGCACCTCATTGCTTTCAGAGATTAGTTGCCCTCCAATATGGCCCCAATCTGTTCATTTGCCACTAGTTTGACTGCAAACACCCTGTGAATCAATCTCGTCACCATCTCCCAGGGATCTGTATGCACTTTTTTTTTACAAAGGCCATCGGATTGTTCCACACAACCTTGAAACAAATGGATTATTATATGCATATAATAAAGAAATTATAAACACAAGCACCTAATGCTACAGACACACCTATCGAATACAGTGAGAGTCAACAAGAAATATCACCTAAAAAAAGAATACGACGCATCTTTAAAATAACAAATGCAAAGGATCTTCCTTTTAATAGTCGGGACACCTTTCAGGAAAAGCAGCATGTACTGATTGATTCATAATTTGCTGTTAATGTTTTTGGCATTAACTGAGCAAAATGGAAAAAGTGGATGAGTTGGAGCACCCTCTTCTGGGAGAGGGTACAAATAATAAAAATGTGTCAGGACCTGTGCCTGTGTCCACATATTCCCCTGGTGAGCGGTTTAAAGGGGTCTTAGTAAAGTGTGAGGAGGATCAAGTGTATCCTCCACTCGCATGGAGTAGTTACTGCGGACACCCCCCTGAGATCCCACAGCAGCAGCTCTTGGACCCCTGCTCTCTGCCTCGCACACTGGAGTCCTACTACCCAGGTGGGCCTTTGTGGGGTCATACAGACTCATTGCTTAATAAGGACTATCTGGAGACTACCTTTGTGGACATACGGCCTGGCTCAACACTGGAAAGGAAGCTGATGGCTGAAGCTCAGGACTACCACAGTACCTACAGCATGGAGGATGAGGACGACCTGCTCCCAGACTCAGATGTAAGAATTCTACAGTTTACAACTAAAATTAATATAAAACACTACACTCTAGTAGTTGTCCACAATCTGTGCTTATTGAACTTAGACCATATTTATAAAGGACAACAGCAACACACAATTACCTACCTTTAAAATTCAAACCCTAAAAGTCACACATGTTAAACACATGCGTGAAGTTTTGACAACAGTTAAGTCTCAGAATTAAAATTACTTTCAACAGAAATACTAATATTAATATGTGCATGCACGTATTAGTATTTCTGTGCAGGCCACTAATACAGGATACAGAAATAAAAGCACTATAAATCTTATTTAAAGTTTTTCTGTAATACAAAGTTGATTTAGTTGTTTTAACTCTCTGCATTGTGCTTGTTTGGTACTCACAGGATTCGTCCATTGACGATTACACAGACACAGACAGTGAGAGCAACTTCCCTCTAATGATACCACAGGACTACTTGGGTCTGGCCTTCTTCTCTATGCTCTGCTGCTTTTGGCCACTGGGGATTGCTGCATTCTACCTGTCACAAAAGGTACAATTTCTTACGTTAAAAATGCAGTTAATCAATTCTGTGGCAAACCCATTACAATCATCACTAGCAACCAAAATCTATATCAGTAATAGTCACTGGCTGATTCTGATATAGGTATCTTTCCAGCAAATTGGAGAAATGCCAGCAAATGGCAAAGGCCTTTTGACCCAATCAATGGCCTTCATTAAGGTTTAATTAAAATCATAACAAGAAGCCCAAAGGTAATAGATTTCCAATATAGTCAAGAGCTACTTAAAGCAGAGGTCAGACTCAAAGACAGAGAGTGGGGTGAGAGGAAGAAGAAAGGCAAGTGTATCATGTTGCCTGCAGAATGTGGATAAGTAACAGTATAATGATGTTTTATGTACAATTACAAAGAACCCAATACACAAATGAATCTCAGCATTATCATCAAAGAAGGCAG